ATATATTTTTTCCAAATCTTAATTCATAGCAGTCATTAAAATCATACAAGTTTTCACATTTCGGACAAACTACAAACTTTATGAACTTGTCTTTGTTCAATCCTAAATTGTTCCTAAGTAAATGCAATGACTTTGGAACAAGTAAAGCTATACCAGTTACCATGGGGACAATTGAGCCAAGTACTTTGAAGAAACTCTTTAGAAAGCTAAGCAGAATATCAACAGCATTGTCTGATAGACTGCAGAAAGATGACCACAAACACACAAAAATGAGCAGACATTTAACTTTATCCATTGCCAACTTATGGTATTTATATTGACAGATGGTAACTGTTTATCATTGAAATCCATGTCAATATCTTCCTTGTTAAGTTCCCAAACTTCTTGCAATGTTCTCCTTTCATGGTACAAAAATTCATCATCACTGTCGTCTTTAGAAGGATCAATCAAGTATTCATCTTCTGTTTCAAAGTCGGCAATGCTGGCGCCTATTTATAATAGATAACAAAATTAGAACCAAATAGATTTATAGTTTTCAGTTGATAGTGGGCATTTTGCAGTTAGCAGTCACATGGCCATTTCTTTTCTTACAATTGGCTATTTTTTCACGCCGGGTCAGCTGTCTTCATTTTCCTATCACTTAGCTCCCGCGATCAATATTATGATTGTCAGCGGATTTACGTTATCAAAAATGGCGGTCTCTCGTACGTACGATGTAGAAGAAATTATAAATGAAGTTTGTGCTGAAGTTGAGGAAGAAGTTGAACCAACTCAAAGTCTTGAGGATACAATTGAAGGTGCCGTTGCACAGTTTTATCCTATCAGGCATCAGTTGGTCAGTTTTACGCTTTTTTGCAAAGAAGCTAGTCAGTGTTTGGAGGATTTGTTTCATCAGCATGCCATTGAAAATCGAAGTAGCACTGAGAACATACTTAAAACATCTACAAATATCCAGCCTGACATAAAATCTGAAGTTTATCTCTGGATAAAATGTATCAAAAGAAGAATGCGCGCGAACCCAACACCGAGAAATCCTTGGACTGTTGAATTCACGCGTGATCTTCCCGAAGGAGTATTTAAGAGAATAAGAGAGGCTGTTAGAGCAGGAGCATCGTCCTTTGGAATCATTGTCGAGCCATACGTGATCAGATATACTGAGGAAAAGCGTTTGGTACGAGATTTCTCGAAATTGGCTTCGCTTACAAAGGGGGAAGTTAGGGAACTGTTCAAGAAGTCATTCAGAATCAAGAAATTTATAGCAGCAGTGGATGTGTCCATGGAAAAGCCATTTGTGATTAGATTTGATTGTAAAAAAATGAAAGTAACTGTTATTTGTAAATACCAATGTACGAATGAGTTTGGATATACGTTTGGATGATTGGTGAGTGTTGATATGCAGAACTTAAGTTGTTAAGCTTTATTGGATTTTAAGAAGGCTAAACTAAAATTGTAACTTAGACTACATTCATGTCATCCTGAATTAGTTTTTTTGCATTCTCAAATACTTGAATGACTTATCATATTTTTTCATACTTCTTGAACTTTTTAACCACCTCTAGTAGTTTTATATACTTATACATATACTATAAGTAATATATTGTCTATTAAAATTTTGAATCCAGCTACTTTGTACATAATGAAATTTTTACAAGATTATCTAGTAATAGATGTATAGCTAAATTGATAGCCTTTTAATCTATATGATAGGCTTTATAGGCTCTATATGATAGCCTTTATATAATATATAATACATTTTGTTCATAAGAAAGTACCATTTTCAAACAAAAAAGGCTATTGAAGTTGATTGTTTTTTGCAAATAATGATTACAATAATATTTAATGAAAAAAAAAATTAGATTTGATATAAGTACTAAAAATAATTTCAAAAATTATTATATTTTCTTTTGGGTCTCAACCATATTACATTGTGGCTATTTTCTCTTTCATAATAAATACTATAATGGTATCTATATTAAGATTTAGATTTTTTTAATCCTTACTGGCAGAATAGCATTAATCAAACAAAATGAAACCAATAGTTTTTGAGCTATTCGTCTTCATTTACTGTTAAACTAGTGTACAATTGTACTCTATTGGGGATATATAAAATGTGTGGTCTATATTAATTGAATTTGTAATAAATGCCAACAATTTGTATTATATTTATTCTTATT